CGATCTAGTGTCTGGGTACTGGCAGGTGGAGATGGCAAAGGAGGATCGGTCAAAGACTGCATTTATTACCCTGATGGGACTGTTCGAGTTCCGAGTGCTTCCGTTCGGACTCACTAACGTGCCTGCGATGTTTCAGTGGTTGATGGAGTTGGTGATGCAGGGCCTGCAATGGGAATGGTGCCTAATTTACCTGGATGACGTGATAGTGTTCAGTAGGTCCCTATCTGAGCACTGGTCCAGGTTACGGGAGGTGTTCCAACGTCTGCGAGCAGCCCACCTCAAGCTCAAGCCGCGTAAGTGTCATATTGCGAAGCGCGAGGTTGGGTAGCTCAGACACCGCGTCAGCGAGGCAGGGGTGCGCACCGACCCAGAAAAGGTACGCGCCGTAGTGGAATGGCCACGGCCGAGGAACCTGATGGAGATCAGGTAATTTTGGGGGGTAGCCACTTTCTATCGTCGATTTTGTGTAGGGATTCAGCGAGATTGCATGCCCCCTCACCCAACTCACTTCCCCTAAGAACCCCTGTCATTGGACGGAGGCCTGCCAGACGGCCTTCACCACCCTCAAGGACCACCTCACCCATACCCCCAACCTGGCTTTCCCTGACTTTTCCACGGATTTTATTTTGGACACCGACGCCTGCAGCCGTGGGCTGGGCGCTGTGTTGTCCCAGGTGCAGGACTGGATGGAGCGGGTCATCGCATACGCCAGCCGGACCCTGAGCGGGGCTGAACTGAAATATTGCGTGACCCGTCAGAAACTGTATGCCGTGATTTTCGCGACTCGTTGAACACTGTCCTCAGAACAGGCGCAGATGCGACAATGCAGAAGAGACTTGGGAGAGTGGCAGACAGCAGAGATAAACAGGAACGCAGATTGACACGGAGAGACGAGGAAACGGATTGACGCAGAGATAAACAGACACGCAGACTGACACGGAGAGAGAGAGAGACAGTTATTTATTGACACACTCATAGATATAGTCACAAATCTATAGACACAGACAGATATAGATAATAACATGCAGTGAGATATGGAGAATGGTAGACACAGAGACACGGAGAGTGATACAGAGAGGCACATAGACAAATAGACAAACAGAATATTTTGTCTTGGGGACCCCTAAAAAAGGGAAGCCCCCCCTGCACACATGAACATTGCTGCACACGGCTAAAGAGCACAATCTGGCCAGATGTCCCGTACACACACACACACAACTGGTACTTTTTGTACTCGAGTGTATGTGAGAGAGACGTTGGTTTGTGTAGCTCTCACATTGTGCGACCACCTCTTATTAGTGATGTCCGACGCTTTGCTCCAAGTGCCGGCAGCTTCGTCGGGAACTGATTGATTTTAGGATGCATTGTTTCAGTTCCTGAAGAATCTGCCGGCAATTGGAGCGAAAACGTCAAATAATCACAGACAGGCTGAAAACACATCGTAGAGAAACGTAACATCCCAACCGCAATATAAATCCTATGCAGTAAAATCTTAACGTTCAATGAATATGCAAACACGTGCACAAAAAAACACGCATTAAGCAAAAACCATCAGCAGTTCCTGAAGAACTGCATCGTGGTCCTCTTGCCATTGCAAGGTTGTTTAGCAAATTATCCTACTGTTTGAGTTTTTCCTACTTGCACTACATATCTGTAATGATGGGTTTGTCTCATTCACAGATTGGATTGCAGTAGAATCTCTGTAGTTTCTCAATCCACCCTCTCACACACACACGGTGCTATTTCTACCCATGTGTGTCTGTGTAAGTAGACCTGGGGGTCACTTACAATTGTAATTGTGTCATTCATAATGAATTGCAACCACGGTGTAATTGCAATTTCACCTAACAATGCCGCTGTGTTTGCAATAATAATTGACCCCAGGTCTGTGTGCAAGGCGTGCGTGTGAGTCATTGGTTTGTGAATTCTCAACCCGCTCCTATATCAAAGACAAAGATTGCCAGTATAGCCTTGAACTGGCTGTTGGGGCAAGTGCTGTTAGCGAGCACTTACTAAGGCCAGCACAGCGCACGAGACGGTGGATGGGCAGGAACCACGCCCGGCCGCCTTTGTTTCCCCAGTGCTGATGTTGACACACCGTAACGTATACTCATTTAAGGCTGGTTCGACCGAGCGGGAAGCCCATAATCGCTTCAGATATGCGTCACTGACGTTGGCCGTGAGTGTGAATCGAACTCGGGTCGCCGGGTTCGTAGCGTAGTGTGCCAAAAACCACTACACTACCGCCGCTATATCTCATACACGCACACGCAGCTCGTACTGTGTTACCCGTGTGTGTGTGTATATATGATATATATTTGTGTAGCTCTCTGTGAATCGGTTGTTGGATTTAACCGCGTGTTGCTTGACATGAAGGGACTTCCAGAAGGTGGAGTGAAGCGTCGGACGTCATGCTGAGCAACAGCACAGAACAACGCGAGGACACGCCGGGGATCTAACCAGCACACCCGCAAAAACCTACGGAAGCGGTACAACATCCGATTCGTAATTGTTTTTTTTTTGGAACACAGCGTAAGTAAAATGAGTGTCGCACACCCTCCGCCACCCGACACAGCCAATAAGTAAGACGTCATGTGGACAGACGTGCCAATTTGTTACGGCTTCAGCAGCAGCAAACGTCGCTGGTCGTTTGCTTTGCTGGGTGCAACGTCGCCTGCGCGATGCGCCCAAAATAATTCCAATCACAACATCGGTCGCGAAAAAGCACTACACGCGGTCTAACATCAGCCTGTGAAACCCCAATCTGCAACCCCCCCCCCCTCCCACTTCAGAGATATATCACACATATTTTTGGATCTTTCGGTAAAGCCACGTAGAAATTATGAAAATAAAAATAATAACACTATCACGACGTTTCAATCGCAACACAAGCAATCGTCATCAGGTGAGAAATATCGCGGGAGAGCTGCTGAGAATATATGGTGGGAGCGCTGCTAAGGTAAGGAGTTTTAAAGGTTTGGGATGGGTGTTGCCCAAGGGTCAGTGGGAGGGGCTAGAGATTAACTTTGCATGTAAATGTGTAGTGGTTGAACTTTACACGAACAACTTTTGCCTTTCTTCAACCACTTCTTTATTTTCATCGTTGACACGTTCTCCACACTCCACCGTATCCTGGACACCACGGCTAGCTCGCCGTGCTTCGCCCGTCTCGCTCACCACCTTGGTTCCCAGTATCACGTGGCTTTGCTCCGCACACACACACACACGTCTTCAACTCTTCTATCCCTTCGCTCTCTTCACTGCTGGCTGTCCTCCTCAGCTCCTCCGCTATACAGCGTCGTCGCACACAGCGAAACCCAATCTCACTTCTCTGTCTCCGCACACCTCGTCTCCAGCTCCTCTATCACTACGCTCACTCCACTGCTAACTGCTCCGTCTTGCTCAGCTTCGCTATCACTATGCTCACTCCACTGCTAACTGCTTCATCTTGCTTCAGCTTCGCTATCACTATGCTCACTCCACTGCTAACTGCTTCGTCTTGCTTCAGCTTCGCTATCACTATGCTCACTCCACTGCTAACTGCTTTGTCTTGCTTCGGCTTCGCTATCACCATGCTCCAACTCTCTTCTCAACTCTGTTTCCGAACTCCACGTCTTCACCGCACAGCTCCCAACTCCAATCTCCCCCTCTCTCTCTGTCTCCCCCCAATTTATCCCCATTCTAATTATCGCTAATTAATTGATCCGCGTGCCTCCGCACGCCTCGCGTCTTCAACCACCTGCCTTTTTCCAGATACCTCGACGCCTCCTCGGCCCCAGTAACAGCACCAACCAATCACAGCCCTTCTGGCTTAATTGGCCCGACCGTTACCTCATCACCCCAGCCTCTTCACCTGGCTGTCCTAACACGACCCCACTGTTTCCGCCGTCTCCTCAGGCTCACCCCAGATAAACCCCACACTGTCCGTGTGATCAATACAATCGCGCAGTTTCTCCGGCACACCTTCCTACTCCACTACAAATGTAAGATCGGCTAAATTAGGACAAACGAAGCTGTGGGAGTGGCCATTATATTGTGAGAGATTAGCGTGTCAATGTAAGAAATTTGCTTGTAAATGTAAGCTCGGAGAGAGCTCCGCAAGAGCATCGTCACATTGAGGTGGACAAGGATGGCAGTCACCATTTAATAACACAGCTAATGGTGGCTGTGCTAGTGAATGTAACTCAGAGAGTCGAAAATAACTGCTAACATAGGTAGGTAGGAAGGGAACATCACAGCCAGTTATGACCTAAACTGGTTAATAACATCCTTCCAATGATTGCTCAGTTTGTACCCATCTTCTCGGTTGAAGTTGTGTCTGTGTTTATATATCTGGATGGCTTCATGAACGAATCTTTGCTGATAGCCAGTGGGCTTGCAGAGTACCCTAGTCTTGGCAAAATAAATTTCGTGTGGGCCCATAGCGTTTAAATAATGATCATGTAGAGTTTTGATGAGGGAATTCTTCTGGGATGGATGGTGGTGTGAGTCAGGTTTTAGGTCGGCATCTGTATGGGTGGCTTTCCTGTAGACAGTGTCCCATTGAGTCATCTGGTCTCTTTTCGATTAAAACATCCAAGAATGGTAACTTGCCATCATTTTCCACCTCTATGGTGAATTTGATGGCTGGGTGTATGGAATTGATGTGGTTGAAGAATTGGTCCAGAGCTGGTAGGCCATGTGACTAGATAACGAACGTGTCATCTACATATGTCTTCCAAAATGAAGACTTTAGGGTGGATGCCTGGATGGCATCTGTCTCAAATTTCTCCATGAAACCATTGGCTACAACTGGAGATAAGGGAGAACCCATTGGGGTACCTTCAACTTATTTGTAGAATGTTCAATTCCAGGTGAAGTAAGTGTTGGTGAGGCAGTGTCTAACCAGGGCCGGTACATCAGCATTCAGTCCTTGTTGGACCAAATGTTCAATGATTGCAATGGTGTCAGGCACAGGAACTTTGGTAAACAAAGATACCACATCGAAACTGACAAGCAAATTACCTCGAGATAGTGAGATGTCTTTAATTGAAGATATCTTTTGAGCTGAGTTAAGTACATCTGAGGCGGTCTTACCAGCATATATCACTCAAAGACACACGGTGGCCACGTGCGCGTACGCGCGTGTAGGCGAGACATCTGCGTGGATTTCTCAATCCACCCCAAAGCACACCCTCCCCTCCCACTCCCCCCTCAACCCCACGCCACCTCGCCGCCCGGTAGCCTAGAGAGCCCCCGTGGCCATGATTCTCCCGTCGATGTCCTCGTATATATCTTCGGCGGCGATGGCGGCGAGCCGCGACGCCCTCTGCGAGCGGCGGAGCCTGCTGGCCGCCCTGGCGCGGGCCCCGTCTTCGCCGCCGCCGCGATACCACAGGTAGCAGTAGCCAAGCGGCAGCAGCAGCGTCGCGTAGATGATGTGCAGGCCGATGTCGCGCTGCGCCACCTCCCAGCACGAGATCGAATGGGGCCTCGCGCACTCCGTGCCCAGCTCCAGACCGCTCAGGGTGCTGATCAGTGTGCGCTGCGCACACCAGGGGCGCGGTAGTTAGGAGAAGCATTATCATCGTCGTCATCACCACCACCACTTGTGTCACCACCACCAATAGCATCATCATCATGTACTATTCGTAGCTCCATCATCGCCATCATCTTCAGACCATTGTTAAAAAAAAATTCCCACACCTTGATAGCCCGGCGCCTAGTCTTGTTGCAGTTGCACCGCCTGCACACTCAATGGCTACGATACCTGGTGGGCAAGGGAGGATGGGGTAGGTGGGCAGGGCATGGGACCACTGTGGCCCGAGTGCCCACGCCAGGTGGTCATTGATGCCCAGAGCTGGCTTAGCGCCAGGGCTTTTGGGGCTTACAGGTTGGGAGCTGTCGACATTTCAAGGGTCTCTAACAAAAATGTATAGACAGCTTTATACCGTTGTAAACGCAGTGCCGTTGTAGGGTATAGAGATTGTCGGCATAAGGCACTACCACGACAAGACAACGTTCCTCTCCCTGAAATTCCTCTATGATTGCACCCCGCATTTGCATTACATTTGAGGTAAAAAAAAAATCAGTATCACGAAACCACAACATGGCTAAGATGCTCATGATAATTTTATTTTGGGTTAGATCGCGTCAATAAACGTGCCAACAAAACATGCCAAAAACAACATTGGTGGTGAAAGCTTTCGCGTCAATAGGCTAAGGTGGATGTGGCAACGTCAACATAATCCGTCGCATACCTATGGGACCCTTTTGCCAATGTCAATATTATGAGAGAAAAATAAGAATGGGCTTTACGCTTTCTGACAATAAAACAGGCGGTGGTAAGATGTTCAAACACCGAACAGATACCAATTACAAGGCATCGTGCACTGCATTAACCACAGATACTTGTGGCAAAACATGGAAACAAACGCCCTGATAACATATGCATTGCCTTTTAAACTGGTTGGCCTGCACCAGAGACAGCCTTCTTTGTGGCCTCTTCTCAACAGTGTTAGACCAGAGAATGTCAAAAAGCAATAAAACACCAGCCTGTTCTTATTTTTGTTCATCATTTTGATACTGGAAAAAGGGTATCGTAGATATAACACGAATTATGTTGACATGCCGCATCCATCTTAGCCTTGTAACATGTAAGCTTCTGCAACCAATAGTTGTTTTTGGCATGTTTTGATGGCACTTTTTTTTACGCGATCTAACCCAATTTGCAATTATTACTTTTTTCATCATAACTTAGTTTTTGTTCTTGATCTTAACTCCCGGTCCGGCTGAAATTTGAACGCTGTAAATCCCGGACAACGGGACTCTTGTCCGACTTAACCTCGACGCCGATCGCACCATGAGGAACTTGGGCTTGCCGCACGTCGCGTTGACGCGCTCCAGCTGGGCCGCGTCGTGCAGCCACAGCACGAGGTAGCGGATGGAACAGTCGCAGTGCCAGGGGTTGTCCTCGAGCGTGAGCTTCATCAGCCGATGGAGGTGGTCGAGCGCGCCCGGAGGCACCGTCTGCAGCTGGTTCCCCTGCGCACGACGGCAGGGGTGGGTGGGGATTTGAGATGGGGGGGGGGGGGGGGTGGCGGGGGGGTGTGGGGTCGGGGTAGCAGAGATGGGGGTGAACCTTATTATTAATAATATGATTACGCTTGTTTGCCCAAGAAAGCCTCACATAATCTCATGATATATTTTCTTTCTTCTCAGGAAGGTCCTGCTTTGTGTTCGCAGTAGGGGGGAGGAGGAGGAGGGGGGCGGATGTCGGCCGTGTATAATCCCCACCGAGCAATTTGCCGCGGGATAATTTCCTTTTATTACTTGCCAAATTTTAACGGTCACGCCGGGTGGCACGCAGTCGGCGCCACCACTCTTGCGAATGCCCTCGCGGGAGATCTTTGACGCCCACCGCGAAGTAGACGGCGGCGGGGCATTTGACTGCGCTGAATACACACCGCAGTGATGATCAGGGCGGCCGCTGGACTCGGACCGTGAACCTCCGCTAGCTATGAGTGGCGAATGCGCTACCACCCGGCCGCGTCACCGCTCGCATCCGAGACGGTTGTAACGCTCCACGTCAGCGGAGTATTCTACGCGACGCGTGTGCGGTGCGGCCACGTCCATTTGTCGTGCTCTACTTCCATGCTTCCACATCTGTGAGTTCATTTTCTATCTACAGATCTACAGTACCCGTCGTGGGCCAAAACATGGACAAATCTCAATGAAAGGCTACGATCGCCGCCGTCATTGAGGACACGACACATTAGAGGGAGCAGTGGGTTATAATAAATTGCCGTAAACAAAATCACCTGGAATGCGCCCAAGCTCATCCGAGCTTGGGAGATAAGCAGACGTTGAGCCTGGCTATCACTTCGAAGGACGACCATCGCACACAAACACGTTTTCACAGGGCTGCAGGGCTACAGCAGAGGGCAGTGCGGTAAAAAACCCATAGTTGTACTGTGCTTCTGTGCTCCCGTCAATATGCTGCCTGCCGTCACCAACCCGCGCTGACGAACATGGTGAGGTGTGGTCGAATAACCCTCATGACCCGCACGGCGTGGAGGAGACCCTCATCCAGCAGTGGATTGACAAAGGGCCTCTCGCGTAGACGCAGATATTTGAATTCAGCTGAGAAGAAAGACTCAGATGACCCGTGCAGCCCTTTGTCGAGGCTGTGCAGCCCCAGCTGATGGATCGCCAATGGTTGGAAAATAGAGGAAGTTACACGGAGAGATCAATCAAATAATCGTACTTAAAACTCAAATGTTACGTGAACTCGAATGAAGCAACAGCGCAATACAAATCGCGCAAAAAGCGAGGACGAATATTACGCTCGCGGATTCACAGCTGTCAAAAGCGCAGTTTGCGAATCGCGTGTCACGCGGTGGCCCAGTGGCATGCCCGACCTTATCAAGTTTCAAGGCCGATTATTATTTTTATTATTTTAAATCTCCCTGCTTATCCATTGACGCCAAGACCGTGGAGGCGCCACCCGCCGCCGTCGTAGCCGCCGCGCGACTCTCGCTCTGCGCGATCGGCGCCGCTTCAAGTCGGAGTTCGCGTCGCTCGAACGACTTTTGACGCCGTCCACGGAGATCGTTGCTCGCATCAGACTGAGATGGTTATAAAAATGAGATGCCGGTGGCGATGATGATGATGATGATGGTGGTGGTGGTGACGATCGTGACGGCGGCGGCGGCGGGTTAACGACACATTTATATTTACGCGATCTAACCCAAAAAATGTTACTACAAATAAATTGATCCCATTTCCACACAAGTAAACAATAATTGTGCCGCAGCTTCATCCTATCACACATGTTTAATTCGATCTCGTAGATAAGAGGAATACAATGTGCCGATTGTATTGTTCACCAATCGCGCCCATTATGTTCAATGCGTTTAAGAGACATTAAGCCAGGGTGGACACGTGGATCAAAGCACTGAGCCAGCACCGCTTAGATCTGGGTTCGAATTCAAGTTTCAGCCACCAGGTTCTCTAGGGTAGTAGTAACTCGATGTTTTCAATCCGGTCATGAATCACTGCACGAAAAAAAAACCGCTTTAAATTTTGTTTGTCAGTTTATTCAGATGAACCCCCGCTGAAAATTTAGATTTTCAGTTTGCTCCGGCTAGCAAGAGATATAATATCTAGAATTGGTGACAGCCGATGGACAAGACAGGCAATGGAATGGCAGCTTAAGGAGAGGACGCACCCAATAGGATGACTACAACAGAGATGGAGCAGAGAGATCACTCCATGCAAAGACGTGAGATGAATTGTGCGGCCTTGCAGAACCACGAAGGTCGGCAATGCTCTTCATCCATCAGTGGCAAGACAATGATCGACGACGATGACGGCGATGATGAGGATGGCTTGGGGAAGTCTCCACCTAGCAGCGGTACCGTACAATGTCCTGGGAAGACTCACAGATTTCCCCAGGATGGATGTCTGCCTCAAACGTAGCACGATCCCCTGGAGATCCAGGACCTGCGGGTGACTTCACTACCCACTGGTGGTGCCCCTACACCGACCCGGCGCTCGGCACCTGGAGCAGCAGCCTCTTGGTGTTGCTGGGCACGTCCGTGGGGAACTCCGTCAGCCCCTTTTTGGAGCAGTCGACCGTCGAGTCTCTGTAGCATATGCAGCCGGCGGGGCAGGCGGCCGCGCCGTGAAGCAGAGCGAACGCGCACCACAGCGCCAGCGCCGGCATCGTCCCTGGCTGTGGGGAGCGCGAAGAAAAGAAGCCCCCCCCCCCCCCCCCACGGCGACATTCGCGTTTAACTGCTCAAAGAGTGCCTCGGCAGCAGACCACGCTTTCCCACCTGATGACGGACGCTTGTGCTGCGCTCGAAACATCGTGATTTGTTCTATTTCATTTGTATACCTACGTGACTTTACCCAAAGAACCGAAGGGTATGCTCAAAGAGCGTCCGGTGTGATGGTGTCGCGTCGCCGTCCGTGCCGAGCGCATCCCTCGCGGTCGCTGATGAACCGCGGGCGAGCTGGAAGGCGTCAGCCGTGCGGTGAGCCGACGCTACCAACGATTTCCCTTTCTCTGCCGTTCTCCACATATTAAGATGGTTTTTTTAGCTAATTAATGAGTGTTTCTACTTGTGGGAGGAAACTGGAGCACCCGGATGAAAACCCAAGCGCGTGAGGGGGAAGCACTCTATCCCGTACAGGAAGGAGAGATGAGATGAGTTCACACTTTAATGTGCCACCGTCTCTTGGCAGAGCAAGGGTTATGGTACCTTGACGCCCATGGGAAGGGAGTTTTGCGACATTTGTGAGATCCACCAACGCTCACAACCGCCACAGATCTAAATCACCTCCCGGATTATTACACAGTTCCTGAGCACGGGTCCAAAGGCCCAAAGCATCAAGCGGCCAGCATCAAACGTCACTCTCTGAGTTGTAATCGTTACGAGTTAACAACGCGTCTCTTGAATTGAACGAGGTTATATAAGAGAGTGTTTGGGAAGGGAAGAGAAGTGACGAAGGTTGGTTATCCGCTACGACACGGATCGGGAAAACGCGCACACTGACAATAAATGTGAGCATGTGTGTTGAACTTATTTTCGCACCGTACGTAGCCAACCGCGCTAATGCGAGTTGCGGGGAAGAGACAACGAACTGAACACGAAAGGCAGTTTCAGGGGACCTCCTTTGCCAGTATCAAAACATGAGAATAGGTTTTCCCCTTTTTTCTGGCAACAAAACAGGTGTTAAAATGGTAAAACACCAAACTGAAACATTTTTTAAAGGAATCATGTCTGCATTAACCACATATACTTGTGGTGGTGTCTACGTGACTTTACCGAAATAACCAAGAATATATATATATCTTAACACCTGTTTTGTTGCCAGAAAAAAGGGGAACACCTATTCTCATGAAAGGCAGTTCTAAATACATTTGTTTTCAATCGAGATGATGTAAAAGTGCGAAAATACAATGGCTTCCTTATATCGGAAAGGAGAGCGTTCCAGACGGCCGCAGAAGCGCATCTGAAAGCGCGCGATGCAGCGACCGTTTTTGTTCGATGGCCAGTCAAAAGCTGCTGCTGCGAGGATGCGTGGAGTTCGCGTGATGATGTGTGCTCCCTGACGAGATCAGCCGCGATATTGTGGTTCATTTGTGGCAAGCAACGTGCAACAAAACGCCGACCAAGTGCACGGTAAAGCGGTGGTGAGATGAACGAAGCATTGAATTACACCGAGAGAAAGAGGATCTCCATGGAATGGGAAAGCACACGCATGAATACAGACACCAGCTGAGTTGTCGAGAAAAGCAAGTGGGCTTGGGCAGGACGTGTCATGGCGAGAATTGGGACGATGGCCGTTGGAGAAGACTGATGATGGAATGGCAGCTGGAGGCGAGGACCCCACACACGAGGATGACTACCGTGGAGATGGAGCGGTGATAATCACTTGGAGCGCAGCAGTGAGATGGATTGTGGCATCGCAGCATGGGGAGGACTTTGTCCAGCAGTGGATAGACGGAAGACTGATGATGCTGTTGAATATCTATATTAAATACCCTGCGGAGACAAGATAACTCACCCTGTTACTACGCCTGATCTCGTCATATCTCGGAAGCTAAGCGGGATTGAACATGGATAGTGCTGGGATGGGCGACCACCATGCACAAACGGGCTGCCACAGGACGGAGTCTCGACTCTGTGTGTGCAACAGAGGACAGTGCAGCAAAATCAATAATTGTACTGAAATTCTAGGCTCCCGCGCCGAGATGCTAGTCGTACTCACCAACCCGCAATGACCAGCGTGGTGACAGGAGGGACAAATAACCCACACAACCCGCACAGCGTGGGCAGGCCGTCATCCAGCAGTGGATTGCCACGAGGGCTGTACGTGTACACACAGCAGTGATGTGCAGAGGAACCGCGGGTCTCTGTCATTTCTTACACACACCGCACAACCGACCTACCTCTTTCCGGAATCCCCTTGAGTTTTACTCGCGAAATCTCGCGCGCAGACCTTGCAGCGATGGGAACAAAACGAGAAATGGAAATCGACTAAAACGAGACGCGCGCGTGCTCGCTCGCTCGGCTCGATGACTAACGCATGAAAAAATAAATGTCCTGCACAAATTTCTGCAAACGAGTGGCATTTATTTTTTGAGCAGAGTGCGCCCACAAATGTCTCTTGATTGGGCACTCAGAAAGGGGAACTGCTGGCCCTGTGGGTGGGGGGGGGGGGGGTTACTCGCTCCCACGTAGACCAAGCTGCCGCTTAAGCCATGCGTGACCCGTGATGGATGTTCGTGCACTGATAGCGGATTCCGTTAGCCTGAAAGCTACCACATTTCAGGAGGGCTCAACGCTAAATCGGGAGGGGGTGGGTGAGACCCATGGCTAGCTGGCGGATCCCTCCCCTCCGTCGGCCCCAATAACAACAACAACCGCCATTCGCCAATAAGTGGTGGTGACGTCCCCACGGCGCTTGTGCCAGGCCATGTGCACGCTCAGGCCACGTGAAGTGTCGAACGACCGCTGGCAAGTGGTCACGGGACAGACCCAGCAGGTTGCCATGGGTTGACTGAGATGACTGGCCGATGCACCACCTGTGGCCCCCTATTATGCCAACTTGCTGTGCTTTATTCGCCCGGCGCTCCGCTCGTTGTTGTGAGCGTTGCTCCTCTGCCCCTCCGTCCCTCCGTCATGCCCCGCCCACTTTTACACAGCCACGCCCACTCCATCGATAGGCCCCGCCTACACCCATGCGAACCAGATTCGTATTCATTCATACTGGAGGAAAAATCCGATTATCTGTAAAGCTCTTTATCACAGATGTCCAGTCGGGGCACGGGGTAAGAAGGCTACAACAACAAACAGTACAACAACAACGCGATAGGAGTGCAAAATACAAGAAAGGTCAACAGATCACCCAAACACAAACAAATACAACATTGAACCATCCCCCGCATCCTACCAGACAAAGCCCACCGAGGGATTAACCCAGACCGCTGCTCGCGTGGTTCTTGACCTTTTCCTGAATCGTCAGTGGAAAATAACTTGAATTAATATCCTGGTCTTAGTTTTGAATGCCGTTAATTGACTTGCTTAATAAAGATATATTTTTTTTCTCAAGGAAATGGCCCCAATATTTCAAGCAGATTCTTCACAGGGAGGGGGGAAAGAGTCAGCGAGGCTTTTTTTGGAATGAAGAAATGTTTAAATAATATTGCATTTCGTAATTCGCATGTGCTGCTACTGATGTACACATTTTATACGCATAAATATAAAGAATAATGGGGCAATGCAGATAACATTGCCACCTTCGTGTGTGTGTGTCTGTGTACATGATTGTGTATGCATCTGTGCGTGCCTGCGTGTGTGCTCGTGGTGAGTGGAGAGTGGTAGCATCGTGGTTAGCGCGCTGCACTAAGAACTCGGCGACCCGAGTTCGATTCTCGCTCACGGCCAACACCAGTGACAATTATCTGAATCGGTCCCAGGCCTCCCCTAGGTCAACTCAGCCTTAAATGTGTACCTGCTGCTGTGCGTAAACATCGCCACTGGGGAGACAAAGGCGTGGTGCTGTGCCAACCACCCGCTCGTGTACCGTTCCGGCATTCATGTAGGTGCTACTCACTAACAGCACTTTTCCCAAGAGTGTTAAGGCTATACGGGGGATCTTTGTCTTTGTAGCATTGAACGCACTGGCCACCTGGGTTCGATTCCCGACCGCCACGACGGACGCCTGCGGTGAGTGACAGCTGAACCGGTGCCGGGCCTCTAACACCTTGGGGCGATTGGTCAAGATCAGCAGTGGGGCGTGTTGCTGACCATGCCACCACCACATGTGCCATGTGTGCCTTCATAGGTTCTCTCTCACAGCACTTGCCCCAACGGTCTGTTAAGGCTACACGTGGGATCTTTGTCTTTGTGCTTGTGTTACCTATGCACATTCAGTGTATATTTAAATGTGTATCTCTGTTATATACATCTCCGTGTGGTCCTTTGTGTGTGTGTGTGTGTCATACCTGTGTATGTATGTATATTAATTACTCAAATGAAAGCAATATATTTCACAGAATAGGATTCTTGCAAGAGATCAACATTAGCAATCGTCATTACATGGTATTACACAAATAGCTCAACGATAGCATATGCAAGGTAAAACAACGACCGTTACAATAAAACAATGACATTCATATTTCTTCCACATATATGGCGTCACTGATATCTGCCTCTTTACTCCACATTCATAAATTAAGACATTTTTCATGCTGGCCCAACAGTGCGGTCTAAACGGGTAGGTAGGGCACGGACTCTCTCGAGAGACGGGAAAACTTCATGTGGAGCTGAACAGACTTGCCCATGAAGGGGCTAGTGAGGGTTTAAGGCAGTCGCTCGCTTCTCCCGTTAGTCGAGGGGGCGGAGGAGCGACGCTCGCAGTGGCGAGCGGCAGCGAAGGGCAGCAAAAAAACGCAGCAAATCGCCACGGTGGCAGTGCCGGACTAAGCTCGTGCGGGGCCTGTAGCATATGTCATAAAGAGGCCCTAATAAAAATAAAAAAACACGGAAATATTTAAACACAATTTTTTTACTTGCAGAGTAAAGTAATTGTATTTTTTCATTGGCTATACAGCCAGATAATACGATAAACCGCTAACCTTAAACACCCAGTCGTTCATAAAAGTTGAAGGCAGTGTAGTACTATAGTAATAGAGCAAGTGCAGAATCACTGAACCGGAATTGATAGCTTGAAAGCATTTAGCGCTGGGCCCTTGAAAGTGCGGGGCCCGTAGCTGCATATGTAGCTACTTTTGCTGCTAGGATCATCCGGAACTTCACTGTGGTGTGCACACGTGGTGCAATTCTCTGCCAGTCATCTCGGTGAAACCCCTCCACACCTCCCGCCAGCGAACCTTCGACACTTCACGTGGCCTCACCGTGCACCTAGCCGGACACAATCACTCGGGCTGATGTGACCGCCAATTCGTGGCACGTGACAGCTTGCTGTCAAGTGTGTTTTCGTAGTTGTTTCCGCTGTTGTCGTGCCTCGTGCGTGAAGCAGTAACCACGGGCAATATGCAGAGCAGCAAGTGCCGGGAGAGCTGTGGAGTGAGTGCTGATTGCGTCGGTACACGCTGACGGCATGCGGGGCAACCCATCGTCGACTGATAGCCACGCTCACCCCAATCCGCGTCCACCAGCATCGAAACCATCTCTGCGGCTTCATCTCTCTGCCCATGTGTTTTTGTTTTTTAACACTTTTACCTTTTGTCTTATTCCCACAATTTGTATTCCAATTGTGCTGTCCAATGCCATGTCACGAGACGGAATGTAGGATCAGAACACTCACCAGGGCGGTGTTTCACTTCGTGTTTGCCTTCGCGAAACACTAATCGCTTAGTGAAACACCAATCGCTTAGTGAAACACCAATCGCTTAGTGAAACACCAATCACTTGGTAAAACACCAATCGCTTAGTAAAACACTAATCACTAAGTGAAACACTAATCCAGGGGATGGGCAACCTGCGGTTCCGGAGCCGCATGCGGCTCTTTAACGACTGCTTCGTGACTCGTTATTTATTAAGGGCCATCTCGTATTCACCACACAGTGAAATATTTAGGTTTTCTTTTTACGAATTAGACAAAAAATACCCTTCTGGTTATTTTTGGGTTTCCGACCGGGTCCTCCGGTTTTCGCTCCATATTTAGAAACGTGCGTTTAGACTATTTAAATTATTGCGCCGCATTAAACGTACAAATGGTAAGCCACTTTGTTGGGCTATCAATTGTGGCCAGGCCGCTTTTCAAAAATAAGTGAAGACCTGCATGGGCTTTGTCTGGTAGGATGGGGATGGTTTCGTTGTATTTGTTTGTGTTTGGGTGATTTGTTTACCTTACTTGTACTTTACACTCCTATCATACGTTTGTGTTGTTCGGTGTTGGAACGTTCTTACCCGCCCTACTGGACAACTGTGAAAAAGAGCTTTACGGCTCATCGGATTTCTCCAGTACAAATAAATATTCGGATTCTAATCCATGACCGTCCACATTATCTGGCAGTCCTGCTCAATACAGATGTTGGCCCTCAGCTCGCTCGCTGTCCCACGACTCAAAGACTCTCCTGGCAGAAGCGCCGTTTCTCCCTGGCTGCTCCATCGCATCCCCTCTGCAACAGCAGCAGCAGGCTCAGATCCAGTGCCATGTTCATGTCGGGCCCATAAGGAACCCTGTGAGAGCCGATCTCTGTGCAGCCTCGATGAGTCGCGACTGGAAATTTACCTTCCTTCTCGTGAAAACGTGCGCCTTATAAATATATAGATGCTTTTAACTCGTATTATTAAAGAATGGCCCGCACGAGCAGATATAATAGAAATGTTTTTGCGATCCCTTCGAGTTGCTTGTTTTAGCCACCTGTTCCAACACGTTCAGCTCCAGAGAAATCTGCAACACTTGGCATTCAAACCGATCTATATATATACATCCTGTATAGCTGTTTTTTTAAGCTGGAATTTAGCCAATTAAGCAGACAGCTACATTGAATGCGATGGTGGGTGGGGGGTGTAGTCATTTTTGGAACGATCGTGCATTATTATTATTATTTTAAAAAAGCTTAAACCCATCAAATGTGCACGTTTGCTGTGTTTAATCACGGTAATGAAAAGTAGCGTGCCATCATGTCCGACGACTATAGTTTGCAATCAGTGCACTATGCCAGATATGACACGCGGTTTCCAGAAGAAGAAAAAAAAACGGACGATGGCAAAGAAAACTGGAACAAGGGCTGAAGAGTGCGCAAAGAGATACAGCACGGTGAGGTGACCGCGTGGAATTTCGCCGAGAGATGAGACGGAACGCTGATGCGTCGAGGAGCAAATGGCAATTCGAGACATCGTATTATTGACTGTGGAGGAAAGTAGGTAGGCTTGGACGAGACAATGGATGAGACTGGAGACGGAATTGCGGCCAAGGTATAAGAAGACGCACCCAAGAGGACCACCGACACGGAGATGGAGTGATGAGTGATCTGAAGCTGCTGCAGGAGTGAAACGGATGTCGGCATCACAGGGATGACGACATTGAGCTACTTTGATTCAGCAGTGGATAGACAATGACTGATGGCGATCTTCGTGTTTACATGTTAACACTGGTATATGTTTAGATTGTGTTTTTTCAGAAGATGTATGATTTAATGGTGCCGTACATCAGGGCGTTTCCAAGCCACTCATTCACTCACTCGGGCTAATCCCGTGATGTGTTCAGCCTTTCAATCAGAATCACGAGAAGTCACCATCATCTCTATGTGGTTCAGGTCAGGATTATTTCTTTAGAACTGCTGTTTGTGTTTAGTTTATTGTCCTTCCCCCGCACCTCCGATTAGCACGATTGGCTACGTACGGTGTTAAAGAAGTTCAACATATATACAGGTTCTCCTTCTCGGTCGGGCGATGCCTTGGGCAGTGCATCTGTAACTCCATTGTAACATTTTAACAATGCCGTGGGACGATCCCAAACAGTGAAACTACTTGAGCGCATCTCAAGACTTCCAGCGGAGCCCAAAGGGAACATTCGCCCACGTTGCACTCCAATGGACTCTCTCTCTCACTCTCTCTGCCGGTTTAAATAAAATGCTTAATTGACCAATTGACCTCGATAAAATCTGGCGAATGTCTTCAAACAGTGAGCCACACCGACCCAGTCACACGTTTAAAAACGTGTAACTTTAGATGTGACCGGATGGCCGAGAGGTGAGAGTTGTGAGCTGGAACCGCAGTGATCCTGCATACGATTCTAGGCACCTACCTGTGATTAAATCGGGTTCTCAAAGTTACCCTGAAACTGGCCCTCAAGCTTAACCTTGAACCTACGTACCTTCGGTCTGACCCATGAACCCACCAACAAAGACTGTGGCTGACCTTCGATCTGTCTCTCACGCTCACTGAACGTATCTCTGGCCGACCCTTGAACCAACGAACAAACCCTCAAACGAACCCTTGTATAGTTAATACTATATAATAAATAATTGCATACTGTACGTCACAATATAATTCTAAATACAATCGATGATCTTTGCCTGGTCTCTAATGACAACAACAGAGAACGCATTCAATTCGGTTGTCCACTTAATTCGGCTACAACTCTCGAGAATGTTAAAGTATCGGTCTGACTGGCGTACGATGAGCATTAGTCCCGGCGGTAGAGCGGCCCGAAAAGTAGCGGCACCTAAGGCACTTGAAGACATCTCCAGAAGTCGTTGCTCTGTGACGTCCGTTGCGTTGCCAAACAACAAACGCACGGCGCGACCCGAAAACTCACAACGGAGAGCCACACGGCGCGAACACGAAAAAAACTACAAAATACCGACTGCGGGACGCGGGATTCTTCCACAAGCCCCCAAAGAGCTTCCGCACGTGAATTATTATTAACGTGGTGCACGTTTGCCGCGGAGCGGGGTGGCAGTGGCAGCGCCAGTGGCTGCGCCTGCAGCTGCAAGGACAAAGAGTTCCTATCAATTATTGATCACGGCGCCGCCGCCGGCAACTACTGCCACGGGGCAAATTAGGCACTCGGTGAAATTGAAATGCAGACGCGATGTTTTATTCATGCGGGGGCATCGCGGCCGCCTGTGGGGAGGATTCGGGGCGGAGCGGTGCCGGAGTTGGGCGCGTCGTTTCCGTGAAGGCGCGTGCGGGTTTTTTTTTTTTTTGCGGGGTGAATTTTGTTGCCGTTGTTGCAATAGTTGTTTTGCCCCATTGCTGATGTTATCGGATCTCTGGCAAGAGCAGTGCGACGGTCGCCGTGATCGGATATCACAGAGCCACCTTTGAGGTGCCCTAAAGTTACCCCTAATCCACGGAGCATTTGTTCAGATTGTTAGCAGAGCAACTCAGCCCTTCTCGTTGGAGAATGGCCCACGGAAGCGGATATCACAGAGCTGCCTCTGAGATCCTATTAAGTGGCCTCTGGCCAGCACTGAAGGGAGCAGCACTTTCCCACCTGCTCTGCCCTTGACAGTAATGCTTGTGATATGACAGTTCGACCATCTTTTTTTATTGCAGGACTAGAATCTCGCCAAATTATGTACAGAACCAATATTAATGTAAATAAAAAGTGCAATTATTGGTGGCCGGGCTGAGCCCATCAACTCACTACACTTAAGAACCCGGTTTATTCACAGGCACCTGGCTTTGAACCCATGACACGGGTGGAGCTGACTCATCGCTCTCACCTCTGAGCCACTCCGCATGCCTCTGACGACGCACGCTTCAGGAAACGAACCGGCCTCTCTCCCTCAGTGGTGACAAAGGGTCCTTGCCACCTTGATAGGTACGAGTCTCAGCCAGCGGCGCAGCAATGGTTGGCATGGGCCCTGCGGTGTGAGAAATGAAAATGGGGGCCCTGCCCTGTCATCCAATTTGTCCCACCCTTCTTCGTAGCCTTGGTGGATTTGACCCCTCCGGCCAGCGGAGCCGGGTGCAGTTGCAAAGCCTGCACACCCGCAAGTGACACCACCAGTCTCAGCACGATCTAGCGATGGCTGCGGACGAGGGCTGGCAGTGGACGTCGATCGGCATGCCCGTGAGCAGGTCACGTGACTGCAGCTCGAGCCCGAACCGGTTCAGAATCTCCAGTGCCTGATTGGGACCTGGGAAAGAAAAAAAACAACCACGTAAATTGGATACGTAATTCAAGGGAATCATCATCGTCATGATCAGCCATGATCTACACACTGCTGGATGAAGGCCTCCTCCATTTCTATATCTCATGGTCTAGCTCCTGCACACAAGCCAAGTCATTGTTCCATCTCCAGAGCGGTGGTCCTAAGAATTATTTTTACTTGGATAGGGCCCCATTGGTTACAGGTAGTGTACTCACCTATACTATCTGGAAAACCAGCAGTGGCATTGTCATTGTTTAACGAGACCGACTCAGGTGTTGAGTCTCAGATGGTCGAAACCCATCCAGTGTTTGTTTGCTTAAACAAATGCTGACCATAGGACGATGAACTGATATTGATGTCACCGTTTTGCAGAGAGATCAAATGAAAGTGGGGTGATGTATTTCTTTTTTTGTCATGACAGATCAGCTAGATCCTGTGGAACAGTGACTAGACCCAGGAGCAAAATGGAATGCTCCGTAACGCAGAAGGTTTCTGAGCTTGTTTTCACGTTTGCAATGGGGAAACTAATTGTCCACCTGCAGTGGCACTCCTCCTTTAAAATGTACATCAACGCATCAACACGACCGACTCATAGAAATCATCTTTGAGAGGCTGCGGGGGTAATTCATGTAACGCCACGGTGTAGGTTCAAGTTGCCGTGCCATGCGTGTTGTTGGACACGATGTCCGGCATATCGCCTCGCGTGCTGACAGCTTCATTTCAGTTCCAGAAGACGCTCCCAGCATATCACGTTGTCGCGTGTAATCAATTGAACTCAGAAATCTGTTCCTGAAGAAGCGTTTTGAGCAAAACGTCGGACATCATGCCGAACACGTAGTATAAAAATAAAACGCGTAAGAAAGGGCTATGCATCAATTTTCTTATTCAAACTGATTGTACGTTACATTTCTGGTGAGATGGCCAGATCCCTATAAAGTAGTTAGCGTTGACTTAGCAAATTGTCCGTCAAATATTTTCATGGGCTGACTTTTCCACCAAACGTACTTCCCCACCGCATTCGGCTTTATTTCTTCAGGAAGTGGTAAACACCCTGTGAATACATTCACTTTTGCTCAAGACAGCATTCTGTTGCGGCCGAGAGATGGGCAACGTTGATGAGAAGCCTGCGTTGCTCTGCTCTCCCTCGCGGCACCAAAACGACTCCTCCACGGAGCGAGCGAGCGAGCGAGCGCTCGCCATACGCAACGATGATGAGCGCTGAGAAAGAAAACAAATTTGACAGCTGAGCTGCGAAAGTTTACACAGCCTCACTTTGCGGAGTTCTCCGTTTTCAAAGAAATTTAAGACTCGTTAATAAGTCTTCGCCGCGTAATATATAATTCCAGGTAGACGCGCGGGCTGTCGTGAGCCTTCAAAATAGGTTCGGCGTTTTTGCCGAGAGCGACTTTTGTTCGTCTTTCTTTCACCGTGCAGCTGTCGACCTGTTTTTTGGGCTGCTTCACCAAAAGTCAAAACTTCAGACTTTTATAGCAGAGCCAGGTCCAAGTGTGCCCTGGCAAAACAGGGCAATCATCTGAGAGCTTAATTCATGAAGAACATCGGAGTGAGCAGGGGGCAAAGGCACCTGCCCACATATACGCGCAACTTGTTGAGTCGTTAATAATACAGCTCCTTGCCAATGTACTGGTGGATGAAGTCCTCCTCACACCACGTCTGTTTAGGGGGACGGTTTGACCATACTTCAGCACGCTGGGCAGCACGGGTTGATAAAGTTGGGGGGGGGGCAGGATCGGTTCACGTGCCACTCGCCACTGATGTTAGCCGTGGCCAGGAATTGAACGCAAGTCGCGTTCAACGCAAGTCAGTGAATGAAAGGAGGGAAAGTGTGGAAGGACTTTGCTGAGCAGCAGAAAGTTACAGGATAACTACAACAACAAAGGCAAGAGTTAAGGTGAGTATAAGGTGGATAGGTCATGGGGTCAGAGGTCACCCCACCTTGCTGCGAGTCTTTGCAGGAGTCCAGACAATCCAGCAGGGTCCGCCCGAGCACTCGGTTTGAAATATTCTGTGCACGGCAAAAGAAGCGAAGCAAATTATTTCCAACCAAAATAGTCATCTTCCTCTGGACAAGTTAGGCGTTTGCATGTTTTGCTTTGCAGGAGCGTGTATCTCTCACATCAACCGCAGTAGCAGCAGCAACATCATTTTGTTGTAACCTATCGGGCCGTGCAAAAGCCATCATTACCCCAGAAGTTTTTATGGTGAACCCTCGCTTCGAAATTTGTCGAAGTCACCCGTAGGCAACATAATTGCACGCTATAGCTGCAAACCTTTCGGGATATGTTAACAAAGCCTGCCTTCAGATTTAAGCAAAGCGACAAAATAAAGCACGTTGGGTGCGACAAATGGATATTTGTCCTCGACAACAGCGGAGTCGACGGTGGATCGCCCTTCCCTCTCCCTAGCGACGTTCTCGTTTTGAGGTCGCGTCGAGGGCCCAGCGGCGATCGGTCTTCGTGACTAAAGTCGCAATAACGGCCACGTACCGACCCCCCCCCCCGCCCGCCCGTTCGCAAAAAAAAAACATAAAAAAGAGAAGCACCAGCCGTGCGGTCGCCCCCCCTCCCCCAACCCCTGCCTCACCCGAGATCGCAGCTGGCGCAGCAGCGTCACGACGTCGACGAGCGTCTCCTCCACCAGCGAGAGCCGCACCCTCTCCGCCTCCACCAGCTGCAGCTCGGCCAGCAGCCTCTCCGCGCTCTCGCGGGACGAGGCCGCCGGTGACGCCGCCGCCGCCGCCGCCGCCGCCGCCACCACGCGGCTCTCGTCCCCGTGCCACGCGGGAGACTCCTCGGCCACGCTCGTTCCGTCGCGATCGCTCGCCAGATCCTGAGAGGGGCGGAGGGGAGAACGCGAGCGCAGTCGACAGGGGGCGGTTGCCACCTGTCCTAGCTTTCCCAGGATGGCCCTCTTGTTAAATCAAGACGTTGTGGGAAATCGCTAGGGCTTCCTGGGACATTATAAGTCCTGAATTATTATTTTTTATCAGTGGCGTAAAAAGACTTGATCTCAGAGGTGGCAGCCCTAGTCACAAGACCCAGGGGTCGGCAGCAGTGCCGGATGATCCTAGTAGCAAAAGTAGCTACATCTGCTACGGGCCCCGCACAATGGCCCCGCGCTAAATGCTTTCATGCTATCAATTCCGGAGAAGTTATTCTGCACTTGAACCTTATGGCGGTACCCCGGGGTACCATCGTACCCCGGCTCTCGCATAATGTCCGTGATGCAGTCATTTTTAGTCTGTTGATGGTCGGCGATGCGGCAATCGACTCATCGCAGACGAGCTGTACACGATGCACTATTCAAAGTTGAAATTTTTCGATGAAGGATTTTTTTTTATGCTGTTTGGCGTTTCGACATCGCGGAGTAGCACCGACTTGCTTCATCCGGCACTGGTCGGCAACCACAATAACAAGAAGGGATATTTTTTTCGAATTCAAGAGCCTCAATGCATGTGAATCACATCGCGAAGCAGTCATTACAGAGCCGCGCGCGGCTCCCGAGCCACAGGCTTCCGACCGCTGCACAAGACACATGCATACGACACAATGACTCATCACCGGTGTGTTGTTAAATTAGGGGCCGGTGACCACGTGCCTGTGTGTCTCTGTCGGTGTGTTTGTGTCTGTGTGTATGTCTCTGTCGGTGTGCGTGTCTGCGTGTGTCCCTGTCTGTGTGTACGTCTCCTTCCCCTACGTATGGTGCGAAAGAAGTCCAACATACACACACACACAAAGCACAGATCTCAGGTGGCTGAAGCGGCGCACTGCAACAAACCGTGGAACGCGTCGCGAACTCGCCGTCCACCGCACGAGTGGTAATCAAGGCCGTAATTATAATATATATTGGGGGGGGACACATCCCCCCCCAATATTCAAATATGCTCAAAATTCCCCCCTCCATATATTGCTATGCTATGTAAATAAAAACAATAATTTGCTAAACCTTGGCCACAATATCTGGAATTGTCTTCATATAACAATGCATAGATTCTGTTTATATGATTGTGGTTATGGTTGTACTTTATTAATCCCTAATCTCTGCCATTACAAACAATGAAACAAGAAAAGGTAAAAAATAAAAAAAACAGAGCAATGTAAATACAATACACTATTAGACATTATTGTAAAAAAATACATAAAAAGTCCATCCCATGTGTTAGTGAATTTTCTTTTATTTTAGGCCGGAAATGGCAGGAAATTAGTTTTCAAATTTAGATTTTTTTTCTGGGTTGGGACCCCCAGACCCCCTGGAAGATTTGGTCCCCCCCAATGTTGACTCCATGGCTACGGCCTTGGTGGTAATCACACTCGCCGTGTGCGGAAAGGCCAGTGTGTGGATGGATTTACGACGCAGACATCGATCTAGAGAGCCTGCTACTTCATTCATATCCATACGAGAGCAGAAGACGAAGACGACGAAGAAGAAGAAGACGAAGAATGAGTGAGTGATTGGTGGAGGCGACCGCCGTGCGCACACAGCTTCTCGCGGAGGAGGAGGAGGAGCAGCTCGACTTATTCAAATCAATTCCTCTGTTTTCTAAGACGTTGAGTCACCATCTTCACTAATGGAATTGTTCCTCTCAACAGTGCCAGCGGGTGTTATGCGCTCTGCATAATGCATCGTTTTTTTATACGGCAGCACTCCCAAATATAATCGGACGAAATCTGTTACGTAAATAACTCTTCAACGTCAAATGTATTCACTGGATTCTAAACACATTTATTTGACGCAGTGTATAGGATATATTTACACAGTCTAACCCCCCAAAAAACCTGTATTATGGATGATATTGGTCGCGAAAGCCTACGTGTTAAACAGTATAAAGGATAGTAATAGGTTTTTACCCATTTATCTGGCACCAAAACTGACACCTTTATACAAGGGATCATGTTTGCAATAACCACAACACAAGCAGTCAAAATGCAAACAAAAAGAGACAACTCTGATAATGATATGCACTGTCCTTGAAATTGATTGGTCCACACCCGAGACGGCTTTTCTTAGAGCTTAATCTCCACTGGTGTATCAAGGATGTACAAATTTTTGCCTTGTTACTGAGTCTGGTATATATTTTTTTTGTTAAAGCGCTATGAGTGTGTATGCATGCATCCATCCCATCCATTCTACAAACAAATTTAATGTAAGCGATTAACAGTTGAAGCAATTGGCGGGACCCCGGGGTCCCATCACTGCCCTGGGGTGGGAAAAACCGCGTAGCGACACGAGTCTTGCCTTACCGACGACAAAACTAGTGTCAATCGATTGGCCTCGTCGAGAGCTACTCGGGGCACGAAGTTTCGTAAAAAGTTGAAAATTACATAAACACGTTAAATTCACTGCTGGGGGCGGGCTCGCCTTGGCAAAGAAGCCAAGGATCGACGGCTGACCGGAGGGCGTCGTCGCCGCGCGCGACTGCGGCGGATGCCCCCCGGGGCTTGCGTTTGGCCGGTGGGGTGGCACCCATCGTGTTGATCGCCGCCTGCTGCTGGCGCTTGTTGGCGCGAGTCTGGGCGGGCGGCGCGTTGCTGTCGGGATCACGTGTGGGCGGACTGAGAAATAATAAGTATTGGCCTGATTTTTGCGGGACCCCAGGGTCCCGCAAAATGATTCAGTTGTTCAATTCATAATGGATCTTTTTTTTTGGGCCAGATCGCCCTTTTGAGTAAAATACCAATGTTGTGTCGTACATTTGTCCTCCACCCGACACAGCCTTCGCGCTTTCAGATGCGCTTCTACGGCCGTCTGGAACGCTCTTCCTTCCGATGTTAGGAAGCCACTGGAGCTAAACATTTTTACGTCATGTAGATTGAAAACCTCATTTCTTTAGAACTGCTTTTTTTTGCTTAGTTTCTTGTTCTTCCACCGCACCGCCAATTAGCATGGTCGGCTACGTAGGGTGCGAAAGAAGTTCAACGTACATACAAATAAATACCGATTCGGCAGCGCATCAGTGTGTTGCTGTAGAGCGATCCACACAAATTGCTGGCAGTTACAACGAACACCATCGTCAGGCGATCGCTAAAATTTGCGAAAATATAAACTATCGAGCCTTAAATAGGGGGCATGGTGTCATCAACATGCCCCCACAGGTGAACAGAATGTGATACCTAGAGGTAAATATGTTGACATAAAATTACGATACATTATGTGCGATTACAATAAATTGGGTTAGATATTTTGATATGAAAGTATACATACTTACGTGATGATACGGGTTACCCATAATTGTACTTAATGGTTAGTAATGTTATAATAATGCAGTGATAGTTTTCATACATGTAAATAGCCACCTCTATTGGGGGCTGTGATGTGACTAAGGATGCGTTTCCAAGCCTAGCTCGGCCTAAAGCTGTCAGATGGGTTGAAATGATTTTGCACGTCGCTCAATTTAAAGAAATTCTCTCATGAGTCTTGATAATAAGTCATTGTTTTGCATAGAACGTCAACGGTATCAAACTCCCGGCGAATGTCCTTGGTTGGCAGGCACGTTCCGCAACTGCCGATATGTGCGTGATCATTCGACGTTGCTTTGGTGCTGTACAGCAAAGTGTAGACTAATATCATCTGTCCATTCTGTGCGGGATTCGGTGTGGGCCCCTCGCGTGCGTGGGGTGTTCTGTGGATGCTCTGGTCTCCACCGACATGTATAACGAGCGCTCACGATTTGTCTGAAAACATCTTCATATGTAGAGAACTGCAGAGCAGCTGTTGGCGCCGGCTCACTGCCTGGCAGCCTTCCAACTTCGTCTGTGCTTCCTACTCGGCGATTTGTGAGATAAATGACGACGCTGTATGAAACTAATCATTAGATGTTGTAGATTGTTTTTTTCCTTCTTTTTAGCAAAGAGGTCTGCAACTACGAAACATTGCCACGTACTGTAAGCATGTGGGAAGAAATGTGAAGATGGCAAGAAAAGTAGTCGAGTAGCCAAGGGAGGGAGCTGTGAAGATTAGTGAGGGAGCACACGAAATCACTTCGCCCCCCCCCACTGCTCAAATAGCTGGGAAGGCAAGTTGCCCTCTGCCACGGTGGCGATATGTTAACTACTTCGCCTGGTGTACAGGAAGTAGTGGGTTCAATCCCGACCCTGACGCCCGCATATTTGGGATTTGCATGTTCTCCCCGTGGTCGTGTGGATTTCTCTCCAAGTCCTCTGGTGTTTTTCCCTCCACGTTGAGAATCAACATCACGCGTTCAGAGTATTTGGCTGCTTTACATTTCCACGTGACGAGCCACTTTGTCGAGCGATCATTTGTGGCGAGGTCGCCGCTTCTGAAAAAGAGCTACATAGCTCAGCGGGCCTTACCTGCGAAAATAAAACGTACTTTTAAGTTTAGTTTAAGCCGGTCAATATATTGTCGCACGTACGACAACACAGACACACGCGATATATTCAATATGGGGCCGTCCATAAATGACGTCACGCGATTTTGGACGATTTTTGACTCCCCCCCCCCCCTTCATCACAAGGCGTCACAAAAAATCAGACCCCATCCCCTCAAATATGACGTCACAAAGCTCTGCCCCCCCCCCCCCCCACCCAAATAAAAACATGCTTCAAATCGCTTTAAACTATTGTCATTGTAGTGCGTATTTAATGTGGCGCTGCACTCTGATGTTGTAGGAGAAAACATTTATTAAAAAGTCTATTTAATTAAGTAGAACGTGCTGTCTATGTTTATTTAAAGTTGCGCATTTTGATGCGATGTCACATTTCTCAAACCGCCCCCCCTCGTCACACATCGTCACAAATGTCTGCCCCCCCCCCCCCCCCCAGGTGCATGACGTCATTTATGGACGGCCCCTATCCACGCGGTTGCAAATTCTGTTGAAAATAAAGGGACTTGTCGAAAGAGAAACCTTTATATCATGGTGGGTTTCCGAGTTGCTTTAACTGCTGCAAGAATCAGTGGCTTTTTTGCGTACTAAACAAAAAGAATTGGAAAACATTACTTAAGATAGTAAAATAAATTACACTTATCTCACTCAAGAGCAGACAAATATTGCATTTGCTTCATGTAATGCATTAGAGACTGCAGTAAATGAGAAGCGGGAAGAAATATATATTTCTTAACAAGGTATTAAAGTGGAGTAATTGAATTTGTTCAATTATCAACACTTACTGACGACAGTTACATAAAATGTTGGCTTAAGATTCAGGAACTTCGATAATTTGAATTGGCAAGAGTGTACGTTGATGTTTTTATAATTATGAAACGTTTTAGAAGTGATTGAAACGTTGGCATTATGCAACGCGTTCTATCCTGCTTCTGACAGCACAACTAAAAATAACGATGTTTAAATATTGTGACGCCGTAAAAAAAAATCTTCCGCATCGACGCTTTAAAAACACACCGGCCTGGAAATTGAAACGAAACACCGGCCTGGAAATCAAAACAAAATACCGGCCTGGAAATCAAAACGAAACACCAGCCTGGAAATTGAAACGAAACACCGGCCTGGAAATCAAAACAAAATACCGGCCTGGAAATCAAAACGAAACACCGGCCTGGAAATTGAAACGAAACACCGGCCTGGAAATCGACGCTTTAAATCGACGCTTTAAAAACACACCGGCCTGGAAATCGAAACGACCTCGTCACCGAGGAGTTGTCCCGAACCGTTCAAACAAGACGCCAAGTCGAGTATAAAATACCGGACACTAAACCACAACGTCGCTTTGTCTGTCACTAAACTCTACAAAGCATAGCAACATATCGATAGGTAAAGGTGCCCGAGGCTATGGCCCAATCGCGTGGAATAAATCTGGCCCGATCTTATCAGACCTGGGAAGCTAAGCTGGGGCTGAGCACTGACAGTGCTGGGATGGGCAATCAGCATGCACCACAAACTGGTTGTCGTGGAGCTTTGGGGATTCATTGCGGGCAGCAGAGGGCAGTGCATCAAAATACACTGTTAAACTGGGACTGCTCTTTCCTGGCACATCCCATCTGTGCACACCATCTATCCTGCACTGACCAGCGCGGTGAAGTATGGTCAAATGGGCACCGCGTGTTGTTGGAGAGGGCCCTCATCCAGCCGTGGACTGCCAAAAAAGGGCTGTAACATGTACACGTGCAAAGGTAACGTCTCTTGTTGTCTAGGCGTTAATGAAGCGCCGCACAGCTGTTGCACATGCCCATTGGCACCCAAGTGGAACCGTGGGATCAACGTTGGCTCGACGTTGGCCCAACGTCCCACGTTTACCAAGTTGTACGCATAAGTGGGATGCAGCAAATTGCTCGCATTACGCCGCGTGCGTGAAACACGTTGGCTCACTCACACGGCTTTATCTGTGGTGGCTGCGGTGCAACATCTGTTTCTGGACACAGCACTAAAAAAGCATCTATGCATGTCTCTATTTCCTTCTCTGTGTCAGTCGACGTATCAAGCTCCGTGTTCCTTTCTCTCTTTGGCTCTGTCTGTGTACATCTCTGTGCCTCTCTGCATATCAAGGTCAATTTCCCCTGTATCGCTCCGTCCGTGTGTCTCTCTCGGTATCTGTCTCTTTCCATGGCATTATTTTGTACGTCTCCGTCTATGTATCCCTCTACGTCTGTCGCGTCGTCTCTCCGTGTGCGTGTGGGTGCGTCTCTCTCAATGCCTTCCACCACGTATTCATCTGAGCCTGTTCCTCTCTCTATGACTGCCCACCGTGTCTCCATCAATGTCTCCACGTCTGTCCTGTTCCCTTCCGTGTCCCTCTTTCTGTGTCCGCTTCCGTGTCTCTCTGTCTTTCTTCACGCGTGTCTCTCGCGCCGAGTCTCTCAGTCTTTCTCTCTCCGCGCCGGCTTCTCTCTATCTTCACGTCTCCAATTGCCTCTGCGTCCGTCTCTGAGGGTCTTTTTCAGGCCCCCCCCCCCATCCATTCGCTGAGCTATGAGGCTGCATTGCCACCTGCTGGATGCTCAGAGGCCCACATCAATCGTGTCACAACTCCAAAGCCGTTGCCATCGTTTTTAAAGTTGTACAATCAACTAGTCTCCCCCCCCCTCCTTCCTTCTTCAGCAATACCCCAGTAAATATGTAACGCTGGCCCAACGTTTGGTCCAATGGTTTCAAGTGCATGCCAAACGCTGGCCCAACGTTGCATGTTTACTGGGCAAGCATGGGCTATTGTTAATTGCGTTATTACAAAGGTAATTGCGTGGAGAGTAAGTATTAAGCATTGCATTATTATTTAAGCTCGTTTTGAGCTGGACCCATTAAGTCGTTCGCCACATTCTTGCCAGTAAAGTTGAGCTACACGCTGCGTGTGGAAAAACTAAGCTGCAAACGCTGGCATTTGATTCGCAGACTCCAACATTTTTGTTGAACACGGGTCACTGTGTCAACAAACATTTGACCCATAGAATCAAAACACAATCACACCCACACTTTTTGCATTCGTTCAATACAATATAAGGCTGGATACATATAGAGCATACAGTGAGGGAAAAAGTATTTGGTCCCCTAATGATTTTGTACGTTTTCCCACTGACGAAGAAATGATCAGTCTATAATTTTAATGGTAGGTTTATTTGAACAGTGAGAGACAGAATAACAACAAAAGAATCCAGAAAAACGCATGTCAAAAATGTTATGAATTGATTTGCATTTTAATAAGGGAAGTAAGTATTTGACCCCCTCTCAATCAGAAAGATTTCTGGCTCCCAGGTGTCTTTTATACAGGTAACGAGCTGAGATTAGGAGCACACTCTTAAAGGGAGTGCTCCTAATCTCAGCTTGTTACCTGTATAAAAGACACCTGTCCACAGAAGCAATCAATCAATCAGATTCCAAACTCTCCACCATGGCCGAGACCAAAGAGCTCTCCAAGGATGTCAGGGACAAGATTGTAGACCTACACAAGGCTGGAATGGGCTACAAGACCATTTCCAAGTAGCTTGGTGAGAAGGTGACAACAGTTGGTGCGATTATTCGCAAATGGAAGAAACACAAAATAAATGTCAATCTCCCTCGGCCTGGGGCTCCATGCAAGATCTCACCTCGTGGAGTTGCAATGATCACGAGAACGGTGAGGAATCAGCCTAGAACTACACGGAAGGATCTTGTCAATGATCCCAAGGCAGTTGGGACCATAGTCACCAAAAAAACAATTGGTAACACACTACGCCGTGAAGGACTGAAATCCTGCAGCGCCCGCAAGGTCCCCCTGCTCAAGAAAGCACATATACATGCCCGTCTCAAGTTTGCCAATGAACATCTGAATGATTCAGAGGACAACTGGGTGAAAGTGTTGTGGTCAGATGAGACCAAATGGAGCTCTTTGGAATCAACTCAACTCGCCGTGTTTGGAGGAGGAGGAATGCTGCCTATGACCCCAAGGAACACCATCCCCACCGTCAAACATGGAGGTAGAAACATTATGCTTTGGGGGTGTTTTTCTGCTAAGGAGACAGGACAACTTCACCGCATCAAACGAACGATGGACGGGGCCATGTACCATCAAATCTTGGGTGAGAACCTCCTTCCCTCAGCCAGGGCATTGAAATGGGTCGTGGATGGGTATTCCAGCATGACAATGACCCAAAATACACGGCCAAGGCAACAAAGGAGTGGCTCAAGAAGAAACACATTAAGGTCCTGGAGTGGCCTAGCCAGTCTCCAGACCTTAATCCCATAGAAAATCTGTGGAGGGAGCTGAAAGTTCGAGTTATCAAACGTCAGCCTCGAAACCTTAATGACTTGGAGAAGATCTGCAAAGAGGAGTGGGACAAAATCCCTCCTGAGATGTGTGCAAACCTGGTGATCAACTACAAGAAACGTCTGACCTCTGTCATTGCCAACAAGGGTTTTGCCACCAAGTACTAAGTCATGTTTTGCAGAGGGGTCAAATACTTATTTCCCTCATTAAAATGCAAATCAATTTATAACATTTTTGACATGCGTTTTTCTGGATTTTTTTGTTGTTATTCTGTCTCTCACTGTTCAAATAAACCTACCATTAAAATTATAGACTGATCATTTCTTTGTCAGTGGGCAAACGTACAAAAACAGCAGGGGATTAAATACCTTTTTCCCTCACTGTATATGTTTAACCACCTTGGAACTATACGCAACGAGCGGACATTTATTTTTTGTCGGCAGATGCAGTCGGTCACGGGCAGAGGCAAAAATGGAGAAAAGTATTGTGCTTGGACGTTAACGGGTGCAGGGAGCCAACAGCACAGATGGCCGGGGGGGAAGGGATTTCCAGACAATGGGAGCAGCAGAGGAGAAAGAGCAACCTCTCACTGAGTTAAGGCTGACAGTTCTTCGACAGAAGGTGTTGGCTGCTGGAGCGGGGGGTGCGTGGAGGAGAGTAGAGTGAGATGAGCGGGAGGAGGTCGGCCGGGGAGAATGATCGACCTCTCACTGATCGAAAAGTTCCAATGAACCACACATTTCACAATTAATGACTGACATAAAAAATATGGGTGTGGGTGTGTGCGAGTGTGCGGCCCGTAGATATTCGCCGAAACGTTCAGCACAGACGCTGCCTCCACGTGCCTCCACGTTACCTTTAATTCGCTCTCTTTCTCTGCCAAATCATTGCGGAGCTTCTCCAATCTGTCCCGGAGCTCGGACCGTGACGAGCCCTGTGCCGACCCTGCTGCCGGGCCGTCCTCCGTTCCGGTGCGCCGGGGCATCGCACCGTCGCACCTGCCACACACGGCGAGGTCGAGACGCTCGTAAGAGTCGACACAGTTTCGGATTGTTCATTCTTTTTTTATTGCACGGTTTAACTGTTAAACGCATTTTGCGGATTTTTTTTTGTTTACACTCTTAACTGTCAGTGCTATTATGCGTTTCACCTAACATATGCAAACTGCAAATGCATTTTTGGACGTTACTCGATGAAAACAGCTTCGTGAATTATGCATGATGATGATCATGGCAAAGAAATGATGTTAACGCAGACGCAATGGAATCCTGAAATTAGCTCACCTCACGCACACGTGCACACGACCCAGCAACATGGAACGTTGCGCCAACGTTGGGCCAACGGTCCAAAACTTCGAAACCGCATGCGAACGTTGGCCCGACGTTGCACGTTTTATCACGGGTTTCCCTCCTCACCCATAGCACCTACCCCTTCCCGCAGCAGCACAGGGGTTTTCTCTGGGCACCAGAGGCCGGGTCCCCTTCCTCCTCGTCGGAGGAGGCTCTCCCTTCCACCGCGCGAGCCATCCTGTCCTCTCCAACTGCCGCGTCCACGGTGAGGTGGAGTGAGGCCGAGAGAGACAGAGAAAGACACAAACACACGGGGACAGTTCTGCAGCCATGATTTGGCACCGCGGTCAGCGAGATGTTAAATACCTCGCCTGGTAAAAAGAAAAAAATAGTATCATTAATTGTTTCGACTTTCTGGTGTCTCATCTGAAGGTGCGTGACACAGTTACCAGGGCAATGTCGCGTGATTCAGTTTTTCTATATCTGGCTGTGAGAATTGTTCTTAAACTTACCGGTGAGCAGAAACGGCAATAATTAGCGCGCAGTTAAAACGCTTCTGCTTACCCGTGACAATTTAATTAATCTGTGTCGTGAAGGGTATCTTATGAGAGATTTTGTGCGAGTATCTTATTTCATCGAGGCGAAGGGTTTAAAAAAATGCATTTTGCTCGATCGTGATTAAGTATGCCTCACCTCAAAATTCAATTACGAGTCCTAATATCTGCTGAAGACGTGCTAAGTTCTGTGTCACCCATGTCTGCTTCCCCTGTACCCGGGTCTTCATTACAGGCCTGCGTGTGCCGCCCCTGAGAGACGGATTTGTGCCCCTACCTCCCACTGAGGACGGGCAACTTAACGAGCACTCCGACGAGGTGACATCATCGTCCGTCCTCCCGTCCACGTCAACCTCGCTGCTGCTCCCGCTCGTGGGCCTGCAGAATAATCAGGACTCATCGTCATCATCGTCGTCATCGTCATCATGTGGGCGGTGACGCGGCCCAGCGGCGGCGCGTTCGCTACTCGTTGTTGTTGCAGAGGTTCGAACCCAGCGGCCGCCCCGATTAATACCGCAGTGTGTGTAATAACCGTAATGATGATACGTGCCATCTGCTACAGAGTGGACGTTACATATCCCCTTACATCATTATTCATAAGAGTAGGCCATTGAGTGCCGGCGTCATGATTCACATTTTGTATATTCAACAAAACTAAATATATATGTTTTAACTAATTTGGATTATTCATAGCAATCATTCACCTCTTACTGCGAAAACTTGGCAGGACCCCCGTGAAAACAAGTCGCGAGACTCTGTGACGCTCTACTAGGCAAAATAACTAAATAACAACCATAAACAATTGCATTGCAGTCCAGTAAGTACTCGATATCACGCCTCACATGAGCATAAAAAATCGAGTTCCGAAGCGTCCAACGGAATGAAGAATCACGACTGAGCAGAGAAGTGCGCATAGGTAGCGGGCACACGGACTTCGAATCGCACGAAGTTTCCAGGACAACCAATAACATTGGGTGCATTGGAGTGTGTAATACACAGCGGCGCGCCCCATGGGACATGGACATTGAAGGTTAATTACGCATCTCTTTGATGGTCCTCAGTACCGTAGCCCGGTTGGCATGGGGCCCCGGTGCGAGGAATTAAATGAGGACCCCTCTCCAAATTCCCCTTCCTCTCCGTAGTCCACTGCATGCCTCCCTCTCCCTCACCCCTGCTCCTTGGGTGCTTGTGCAGTCGCAACCGCCTATGCAGTAGTCGGTGGCCCAGCCACTGCACCGTCTCGCTCACCGCGGCCATGTTGGCAGGCGCTCATCCTTATTTTACTTTTGGTTCTCAAGGTAAAATCAGAATGACCGGCGAACGTGTTTTCAATACGCGTAAACCAAACGTATTTTGATTGTGAAGATTTTTTTTTATATTGTACTTCAAGCATCAGTCAATAGGTGTCCCTAACAAGCCATCATCATCATCACCATCAAATTCAACCACGCAGTCAACATACAACGTTGGGCTAACGTTGGCTCGTGGTTGGAACCGTTGAAACAACATTGGCCCAACGTTTCTCCAACGTTCCATGTTTACTGGGTAGGGGTGTAACGTTCACAACGCAATTCTGTCCGGTCCAGAGATTCCCGTGTGTTGGATAGATCGTGATTTTTTTTATTTGTGTTTCTAATTGTTGTCGCTGTTGTTTATTTGTTAGACATTCTATTGCAATGTTGTGGCGCTGAAAACTCAATGTTTCTGCAACCGCTATAACATGAGCTTAACTGTGTATGTGACAGTTTAACACGTAGGCTTTCGCGACCAATATTATTCATCAAGCATTCTGGCGAATTGCTTGATGATGCTGGATGTATTTACCAGCGAAACGTCGTACTCAAACTGTAAATATGGATTAACTCTTCAACACACCGATGGGCTGAAGTAGTGAATTATTTGTCTTTTGTCAACGTGACACTTTTTTTTTTGCTGATTGGCCGTGTCGGGTGGTGGAGGGTTACGACACATTTATAAATAAACGCGATCTAACCCAAAAACCTTTATTATGAATGTGTATGTGACAAATAAACTTTGATTGAAGTGCTGAGGTTACGCACTCCCAGAGGGCCGTTTGTATAGAACGTTTTGTTGACTGCACTTCTTTTCTTTAAGGGGTTACATGACATCTTCTTGAGATGTCGTTGTATTTAGTTAGACGCTACACGAACCCATGTTGCACCGTATTGCACATAAACCTACTGCATACAACAACGAAGCAAAGCAAATTTGGGCCCTTACTCATTACACTTATGATGTCGGGTGCCGCGAGCTTAATCGATACATCGATTCATCGCTACAGCCCCTAGTCGAAACCATTGCCAGTGTTCATCGTTGGGAAATATTTACCTTACAATTGCCCTTCAGTGTCACGACAATCTGGTGTAGCTGCCAGATAGGGTTGCCACCTCTTAAGGCACACACGAAAAAAACGGGACATATCTATATGAAAAAAAATACTATCTCACTGAACCATAAGAGTGGAAAACGGCATGTAAATAATTATCTTGGCTGGTGTATAATCACCATCATTATCATTACTATCCAACTGAAAACAAAACTCAACATGTAATGTCCTAAGAATGCTTGCAAAATGCCCCCAGGACAGCAGCTACCTCAACCAGTGCCGGATTAAAAAACTAATTTTCAACTTGCATAGTAAAGTAATTGTATTTTTCAATTTGCTATACAGCCAGATAATACGACAAATCGCTAACGTTAAACACCCAGCCGTTCATAAAAGTTAAAAGCGGTTTAGTACTATGGTAATAGAGCAAGTGCAGAATCACTCAACCGGAATTGATAGCTTGAAAGCATTTAGCGCGGGGCCCTTGAAAGTGCGGGGCCCGTAGCTGCATATGTAGCTGCTTTTGCTATTACGATAATCCGGCACTGACCTCAACAAACAAGAGGACGATCTTAGAAGAGAGAAAAATACCAGGACAAGGTGTGTCCTTTCCCAATTGCAGTCACGCCCATCTGCAGGAAGATATTTCCATGGCCACCGCATTATTTGACCGACCACCAACCACACTGATGGCGACCGATGTGGGGGCCCCCACCGGTACCGGTTGCCACCACCTCCCCCGGTGGCCCCCTCCCATCTCTCTGGCAGCACCCCCACCCGTGGCTTCGCGTCGTCGCACACAGAGAGAGAGAGAGACAGACGGGGTGAGGCGTTTAAGACCCTCTCGCCGTCCCACCGCTCCTCACGGCGCCTTATATATTAAAAAAAGCCATCGCTGTGTCCTGCAACAATAGGCGCGCCGAAAGTTGTTGAGAGGCATGGCCATTCCCGTTGTACTGTGTTTCCCCTCGCTGTTTCCAGGACGTCTCAACCGTGTCAGGTGAGTCCTCCCGCCAACACGTGTGTACGTAAAAGAGTACAGCATGCAGCATTCTAAAAAACTAAACTATTTACATTATTTTATTTGACACCAGGTAAGGCCCCGCGAGCCACTTAGCTCTTTTTCAGAAGCGACAAGGCCACAAATTATATCTCAACGAAGTGGCTTGCCACGTGAAAATGTACGGCGGCCAAAGACGGCCAATTCATACGGAAAGAGCCCGGCGTCCTCAGATCTCGGACGCTAAGCTAAGCAGCCTCGAGCCTGGATAGCGTTAGAGGCCGTCCATAAATGACATCACACGGCGTCACAAAAAGTCAGACCCCCCTCAAATATGACGTCACAAAGCTCTGCCCCCCCCCCGTCCCCAAAACCATATTTCCATTTTGAAAATAAAACATGCTTCAAATCGCTTTAAACTATTGTCATTGTAGTGCGTATTTAATGTGGCGCTGCACTCTGATGTTGTAGGAGTGTTGTTATAACAATTAGTGTTGTTACAATTGTATATTTATTTAAAGTTGCGCATTTTGATGTGACGTCATATTTCTCAAACCCCCCCCCCCTCGTCACACATCGTCACAAATGTCTGACCCTCCCCCCCCCCCCCCAGGTGCGTGACGTCATTTATGGACGGCCCCTTAAGGTTGGCGGCCACCACGCATTGAGCACGTGCCGCAGGCTGCTGTGGGAGCTACGCTGTAGCCGGCAGATGGCGATGTAGACAAAAAAAATCCACGGTTGTACTATACTTCTATGCACCCACGCCCATGCTGCACGGGGTTTATCAACCCGCACTGCCCAGTGTGGTGAAGTATGATTACCCAGCACGAGCCGCGACGGCGTGGGGCGGCCGTCATCCAGCAGTGGATTGGCAAACGGACGTGGTGGTGGTGGTGGGTGGGGGGGAGGCTACACGCGTACACGTGCACATTTACAAGCTGGTGTTTATGCATTCTGGCGTTGCTTGAAAAGTATTGCTGGTGGAAGAGGAGAGGCGAGTCCCCCACGATGCCTCGTGGCTTCCAGACCATTCACCTTGACGCGTATTGACGATTACGTTCTCCAGACAACAACAATTGCCGCGTGTCTGGTCAGGCCCCGTGTTCGGGGGGTGGGGCGAGGGCTTTGTTTACCCAACACCCGTCAATATTTACCCCAGGCGCGCGCCACCCACCGAGAACTGGGGGCCAGACGAGAGAGAGAGAGAGATGGGGCTCACGTCATCGCTGATCAAGGAGCAGGGTGCAAACCCAGCCGTCCGTGTCTTAGGAGGGGGGGGGGGGTCAAGCGTGCGCGTCGTGTCGTGCACGTCGTCCGTCGGCGCGCGGGCCGTGGGGCCGCTGGTGTGCATGGACTGTGTGTTGAAGTTCTTTCGCTCCGTATGTCGCCAACCGTACTGGGAATGGACGACAAACTGAACACGATAAAAAAAGCAGCTATCGAGAAGTGAGTTTACAACCTAGATTTAAAAGTGCATTGCTCCAGTGGCTTCCTCTAAGATCGGGAGGAAGAGCGTTCGAGACGCCCGCAGAAGCGCTGACCCTCTTTGTTCCACGATTAGCCAAAAGCTGCTGCGACGATGACCGGAGATCGCGTGATGGTTTATACCCCTGGACGAGATCAGCAAGGTATTGTGGTTCGTTTGCGGCAAGCACTTTTGTGTGTGTGTGATGAGCGCGACCTTACAATGTACTCGTTCGGCAACCGGATGCCAATGTAGCTCAGCGAGCCACTGAACGGACACGGTCGGATCTTGCAGTAGCCCGTCACGACACGTGCCAGATCATGTTTGTCCACCCTGCAGCATGGTGATGTTTTAAAATGTTTTGCCAGACGTTCCGTAGAGTGTGTACGGCATCTGGACAAGTGACTTGTCGTGGCTTGCAGTGCTTTTTTTTCAATCCACTGCTGGATGTCCCCTCCGCTGGTGTCGCCGCTGTGAGCCTTGTGACTCGTACCGCACCACGCTTGAGCAAAGCAGAAAGTCGACGAGGACAAGTTGAGATGATGGCTCTATGACAGCAGAGA